ATTGCTATGGAAGTAGACTATCTCATCTTTCTCCTGCAGAGTGGCTGGTGAGTTCTAACTGCCAACCTTTTGGTTAGCAGCTGAATGCTTTAACCACTGTGCTATCAGAGCTCCTTAAAAGTGATATACAGACACACTATTACAGAGTTCCCATCCAAGCAGAGAATGTAGAAAAGGGTGAGATTATCAATTACTTTTCTTCTGAAAGATATCTCTAATCAAGACTTTGAATAGAGTTTTCTTTCAAATTATCTACAGGTAGTGAGTTTGGTGAATGAAAAACTGGTAACCAATTCTTCCATGAATTGTTAAGTTTTTGGTATCTTATGTCATAACACATTTGAATACTCTCAGTTGACTAACATAAAATCAGAATCAACAAACCATCTAGGTAACATGTTCTTTGGGAACATGTTAACTTTCTGTGGGAAAGTTAAAAGATATGTCTATATTTGAGTCTCCTGTTCAGAAAGGTAGAAACAGATATAATATCATAATTGTATCATAGCTGATATTATTGACCACCATTTATTTGTCAATTGGTCATACTGTGGTTGCTTGCATGTTTCTACAATGCTGGAAACTATGCCATCAGTGTTTCAAATAACAGCAGGGTCACCTATTGGTGGACAGGTTTCAGAGGAGATTTCAGACTAAGACAGACTTGTAAGAAAAGCCTGGTGAACTACTTTCAAAAATTAGCCAATGAAATCCTTATGGATCATGATAGAATATTGTCCAATATAGTGCTGGAAGATGAGCCACCTAAGTTGGAAGGAACTCAAAATATTGTGGCCATCACAATAATGAACTTGCACATACCAATGATCATAAAGATGGCACAGGACTGGGCAACATTTTGTTCAGCTGTACATAGAGTTGCCATGAGTCAGAGTAGACTCAACAACAAATAACAACAAACTTTAGTGAGTACTTTGAAAGTAAATGCCTGGCACTCTTCTGAGTGTTTTACATGTATTAACTCACTGAATCATCACAGAAACCCCACGAAGTAGGTACTATTATTATCCTCACTTTACAGATAGGGAAACTAAGCCCAGAGAATTTAAGAACCTTGCCCAAGGTTACATATCTAAAAAGTAGCAGAGCCAAGATATGAACCTAGGAAGGTTGGTTCCAGAGTCTATACTGATCTACCCATTATACAATACATCTTTCAATATAAGGTTTATATTGAAAGTTACTATAATTAATCTAATGGTGAATATATAATTTCCGTTAAACAACTTACTTATTTTCAGATTCCGGCATTTGAGAAACTTTTGGAAGAATAAGATGAAACAAACATCTGTATGAAAAAGTAATACAGAAAGTGATGTTTAGTAAGAACCATATGGAAGAATATATACAGGTTATATTCTGCCTCTATCGCAAGGAAAAAGTGAGAAAAGAGGGTAAGGGGGAGATTAATTTTATTTACGGATTTTTGTATCATTTTTAATGTTGCAATGAAAATGTATTGGTTTTGTGATTTTGGAAGAGGAATTTAATAAAATGTTTTTAAGACAAAATTGATGCTTATACAAATTTTAAAATGGTTCCAGAGTTCATATCATTGCTCCAAATCACCTGCTAGAATATCAGATATGGTGTAAAGGAACTTGACCTTTGGGTCCAGTTAAAGTAGGGTGACTATTCTATGAAGGAACCTGGTAGAATATGACAAAATAAGGTAGCTTGTAAAGTTTCAATCCCTAAAAACTTCAAAATAAAAAAAAATCCAGAATTATTTTAGACATTTACTTTACTGAAGGCATGCAAGTATCTCAAGACTCCTTCATTTTCTTTTTATGTCTGTGATTCCATTTCCCTTTGGAAGTGTGGCCTCAAGTATAGGACGAACAGGACAACTACTATGGAATCCCTCTGGTGTCCCATTTTTCCCACTGGCATTTTATTAGTCACACTATTGGGAGTTATCATGCCCCAACCTCACTCTCCTCTGCCTCATTATTGTATACAAAATTTCCCTTTTGACAAATCATTTAACTTCATCTGGTGTAACAGTTGGTATCTCAGCAGTACCAGGGCTTCAGTTCATTCCAATTCAATCCCCTGCCAAGAATCTGCATTTCCATCCCAGATATACTGAATCAGAATTTACATTTTAACTATAAGAATTACCTAGGGATCTTTTTAAAATGTACATTCTGATTCAGTTTATTTGGAGTGGAAATGCAAATTGTCAGCAGGGGGTTGAACTAGAATGTACTGGGTTGAAGCCCTGATCAGTACTATTTCAGCACAGTTTACAGAACAAAAGTAAGATGAGGAGAGGAAATCTTTTCACTTCTATAGGATGTGGATTTCTTACTTTAAAGTGGTAAGGACTTGTTGTGGGTCTTCTGAATGTTGAGCTAAATATTCCAAAGCTTTTCCTGCCACAATTTGTTGCTCATTCTAAAAAGAACAAATATAATATAAAATATTAAATATACATCTCAGAGTGATACCTGCAAAATGTTATTTATATTCCAATTAAAGAAAATAAAAAAATCTGAACATGTTCATTCTGTATTCTCAAAAGAGCTATTTAAAAATGGTAGAATAAAGATGCAACTCACTGACAAAAAACAAAACAAAATAAACAGGCTCATGTTAGTCCTATAAATCCATTCTTCCCTATCTACAAAAACTCACAGTCTTGCCGACACTGCCTTGACTCCACTAAGATTAATCTCATTATGCTCTTTATTCTTGTTTCTTAGCAATCATTCAAAGAACCCCAGACTCTCAAGTCATCCTAACTGCCAGCACTGTAATTCCCATAAGGCTCTGTACATCACTTATTCTTTTTTAATTTTACTTTTATTGTGGTGAAAACACACACAACAAGACACTCACCAACAAACAACTTCCACATTTACAGCTCAGGGACATTGATGACATTTTTCATGTTGTGCTACCATTGTTGCTATCTTTTTCCAAAATATTCCATCACCTATTAGCATAAACTCGATGCCCCCCAAACAAAAGCTTCCCCCACCCCCAACCCCTGGCAAACACTAATAATCTTTGGGGAGTGTGTGTGTGTAATAT